GATCAAGTTCGAAATGGCCGACTGGCGGCCATTTTGTTAAAGAATTCAGTTCTGGATCCGTATCCAAGACATGTCTGGATTGATCAAGTTCAAACTTCACACACACATGGTACATCATGTCACAAATAGATATGTGCATTTGTTTCATGATCTGCTTAACAATAGCGGAATGATGGCCATTTTAAGGCCGAAAATGCATCAAAATCACGTATTTTCACAATTCCAGAACCGGATCTCAGTCATGCATGGATGGATTTTGTTCAGATTTAGCACAATGTGTTGTACATATGCAGGTGCATTTCGGTCATGATCTGCTTTGAATGTATATGTCACTCAAATATGAACGGAACGGGGACGTGTCATTGACAATGACTTGTTCTTATATTCTTCAATATTTTGGGAAATGAACCTTAATTTTTGAGTCAACAGACAAAATTTGAGTTAATTTTCAGTCTTTTACTAAAAAAATATGACGATTTTTGTCCAATAGTCTGAAGGAAAGGGCAGACTATAAACATGACTATTTTGTGAATTTGTGATGAAAAAAGGGAACTGATGGTGTAAAGGTTAAGACAAGCTTGTGCTAAATTGTTCCCATGTTACACAACATAGAATCAACTCCTTATCTCTTATTGGTTTTTGAAGAATTGAATTCACTTGTATTATAACTTGCATAAGTCTTTTTTATCTGACAGGCACATATATGGAATGGAAGTAATGGTAATCTTCAACAGAAACTGCCTGCCAACTCACCAATACTCGATGCATGTCCATTTGTACTTGACGGTCAACATATGTTAGCAATAATGACAGAGAAATTAGTAAAAATTCATCGCTGGACATAATTCAAACATCTCTTAGGACATCCTTACACATCTGTACCTCCCAGACAATGTATCATGAATTGATTGGAAGTATAAAAATAGACTAACCAATCAGCTGTCATTGTGAAGTACTCGGCCAAATGCTTTTTATACATTTTTTTTTACATATACATATTTTAAATAATCAACCATTGATCAATTCTTAAATTCTCTTCATTTTCAGTGTACAGAGTATATACCTGCCATTTATGCATTATTACACATTTTCTTAAATGTTCAATAAGCCGTCTATTCTTCCGTATATATGAATGTATTAAAGTTGTCACACCACATTGCGTTCGATATTGGACCTATAGCAACGTATGCAATGCACGTAAAATAAAATGTTTGTTTACATGAAAATTGAACACTTGCCGTGTGACGACTGTATTGCTTTAAGTAGTTTAGTTTGTAAATCATGTATATGTATATGTAATTGACTTTTATTTTTTGTGTGTAAGTATATAGAGTAGAATAAAAAAAATCTTTTCTTAAATTCTGTGCAAGTTTATTCTTTATGTCTAATACAGTGTTTGGGTCTAATAGTAAAATACTTTATTTTAGCTGGAATTAATTTTTGTTGAAACGAATTTTTGGGTGTTTCGTATGGAATTCATTGTCACTGATTTCTGACATGTTGAAATTAAAATATAGGAAATAAGGTATATTCGCTGGATTATATTTCCACCGAATCATTCCTTCAGCGAAAATTAATTCCAAGCGAAAATAAATAGTTTTACAGTACATTGATGGCATCCTGAAATATTCAGTATAGATTTTTGTACCTGTGCAGTGATTGGATAAAATCAGTCCTATAGAGATGCTGTCAAGAAAGTGACTGAGCACTGTTTTTTGAGAAACTTGTCCTAATATTTTTTGAAAATCACCATCTTTAGAACAATTCCATCTCAAATTGCATGTTTTCACATTTAAAACCCAAAAAAGTACCCTATAATTGATATTTTTAAGCCTATAATTTGAGATATGGCATAATATCTCTGCCATAGAAGCCTGTGGTAAAAGTGTTATAATACTGCCAGAATGGACACTATCCACTAAAATACAACATCCTTATCTCAAAAATTAAGCTGGTGACTCCCAACTTTTTTATAGTCCATATCCTTACATTGCCTTGGAGTACAATTTATTGTAAAATGAATTAATTCTCAGTATTCTACCTTAAGGTAGCAAGAATGGGAAAATATGTCTGTTCAGGCCATTCTCAAAGGCTTATACATTGACCCATGTCTCTGTGGCATCAATGATTGCTCAGCAGTGCTCAGGCAAATTTAAACCAAACTTTGTATACATTTTTGAACTTACCAAGTTAGTTTCTGGGCATGGTTTTTGACTCCTGTGTGCGAAGCTCACAATGAGAGTCTTCGCAGTTATTGCATCTGTATATGTGTGTCTTTCCCACTGCTAACTAAACCACTTATTGGATTTTGATGAAACTTGGTACATTTCAATAAGACTTTGCCTGGGAACAATACTAAAGACCAGTTGCAGATTGAAATGTTAGCATACTAATAGCCTAATTTGCATAATGTGCATAATCATTACATTCAATTAAAACTTGGAATATAGATGCTCTTCGGTAATACAGACGTGATTAGTTTAATGTTGAAAAACATGAATATTGATTATCTAATTACAAGCAAATTACTGATATCTCTAAAATTCAGGTTTAAATTGTGGTAGAGGTGCTTTGGAATAAATTAGACTGAAGACAACAGATGTTAAATCAGTATTATAAACTTCAATTATGTGGGTAACAAACAATGTTTTCAGATTGTGCATCTCAAATTGCAGTCAAATATTACTGGTATATGCCAAGCTTCTTGTTTGCAAGGCTAATCTTAAATTTTAAATTAATTTTGAATATGTCTCCAATACTGCCAGCACACGGGTTCAATCTAAGCTTTCTTTGGTTATTAGTCCTGTGACTTAATATGCAAAAATGTAAGCAACGTATCATAAATGGATGTTAACTGTATGGATAACATTAAATAGGAATATTAATGACTATAGCCATAGTAATTAGTTAAAAAAGTTAAATACATGATTATTACCTTTTTACTGTGTTGTCAAATTTGTTCTTATTCATATGTACATTTGAATTGGAATGTCATCAATATAATTCAAAGCAAGCTGTTGTAGATACAGACTACCAAATTTGTATTGACAACATTGATTATGGGTGTACATAACAGCCATGTTCACAACCAAAGATTTTCCTTAAATATTTAACTTCAATGTAATTTGACATTTGTTCTCGTCCACAACGGTACTCAATACTGTTACTCATACTAAATAGGATGCCATTTGGCCTTATTAATATTCATACATGTGATGCTAAACACAATATCAGATATATATTAATAAGGGATTTTATGTATTCATGTACTACCAAACTGATATTAACTCTAATGTGTGTTATGTGGGCGTGTCCCCGTCAACCAGTTCAAGCATTATAATCCTTCAATTTTTAGCTCTACTGTCATTGAAGATGTATAAACAATTGGTTTTATGACTTCTTAAAAACAACCAGGTCGATGTCTCTAATATCTTATATGCAGCACCCTTATGATGAACTTGAGAGATTACAGGTACACCAGTAATGATGTATGTCTGAGAAGTTTTCCATGTCGTTATTTAAACATGATGACTTACAGGAGCTGTGTAATGTAATTACGGTAATTCATATTTTTCACATTGATACCCCAATATTTTGTTTGAATACATGTTAGATCGAGGATATGACGAACACCATTCTTGATTTAGTTTAGTATAAATCTATGCATATTAATTATTTAGTGTGCATATGTTTTTCGATTGACCTTAGAAGAAAATTGCCGCCAAGACCTCGCCATGAGATCACAAACCTATAAAATCAAAGAAAGCTTAGAAAGAATTCCCATGTGCTGAGAGTATTGGAGACACATTAAATATAATTCGAAATTACTTAGCTGAAAACTAATTATGCAAATCAGAAAATTAATATGACCAGATTTGAGTGTAAAACTAATGAGGTCTGCGCAATGTAACAGAAAATCTATGTCTCCAAGTTTAATTGAAATGTGATTAGAACCAAAAAATTATGAATTATTATGCTTATTAGGGAATTAATATGAACAGATTTTTACCCCAAACTAATTAGGTTTGTACATTGTCCTAGAGCATCTTTGTACTAAGTTTCATTGAAATGGAATAATTAGTACTTTAGATATCAGTATGAAAGCTTAAAATTGGTTAATTATGCAAATTAGGTAATTAATATGTACAGATTTTAACCCACAATTATTCAGGTCTGTCTATTGTCCTACAGCATCCATGTACATTCATTGATATGTGATGTATAGTACCTGAGATATCAGTGTGAAAGTTGGTTAATTATGCAAATTAGGTGATTAATATGCACAAATATTTACCGGAAACTAATTGGGTCTGAATAATTCTAGATTCATTGAAATGTGATGATTAGTACTTTAGATATCAGTAGAAAAGCTGAAAATTAATTATGCAAATTAGGTAATTAATATGCACAATTATTTACCCTAAAACTAATCAGGTCTCTGCATAGTCCTAAAGGATCTATGTACCAAGTTTCATTGAAATGCGATGATTAGTACTTGAGATACCCGTGGAAAAGCTGAAAATTAACTAATTATGCAAATTAGGTGATTAATATGCACAAATATTTATTCGAAAACAATCAATCTCTGCATAGTCCTTGAGTATGCAAGTACCAAGTTTCATTGAAATGTAATGCTCACTACTTATATCAAATGCTGAAAATTAATTAATTATGCAAATTAGTACTGATATTACCATAAAAACTATCAGTCTGTGCAGTGTCATATGACATCTATGTACCAAGTTTCATTGAAATGTCATGATCAGTACTTATATCAAATGCTGA